CAAAAGTATAAATAATGTTGAGAATACCTTGACAACATTCGGTTGAAAGTGAATGTATAATTTAACAATGCACGCATGAAACCTTCAATATAACGTATAAGAAAAACCTGATAGTAGGGTGTCTTCTTTCACAGCATTCCCATCTTCCTATCCAGAACAAGAAACATTCTTGTAAATCTAGCTACAAGTAAACTAGGTGGCTAGCATACCAATGTTCTGTGTCCCCTCGATGAGTCCACGATGAAACCGTTGAACTCCGGACGATACAACCCTCTGTGTACAACTGCTGAAATCCTGGGTCAACAATCCCTTGGGTCAAACTGTCGTCGAATCCTGGGCTAACAACCCCCTGGGTTAAACCCTTAAAATATTACAAAGAAAAATGTCAATACACATTGACTCAAGTATCCCGAACTATAGGATTACCCAAAAATGTACATAAACTAGAAAATATTCAGTATCTAGGATAAAGAAAAACTACATTGGCTCAACAGTGAGTCATAAACAGTATTATGAGCTCCATTAATTAAAATTCTGTTACACATGGTTGGTAACATAACCTAATATATACAAAACATACCTTTTTCGTAAAGGGTTAACTTGGTAGCCTTTCAAGGATGAGAACCACGTGAGATGATTCACAGCACAACAATATTCCACACTCCAAATGCTGTGAACTCCCGATTATTGCGTTAAAATCCTATATTAGATATGGGCTGGACCAATGACCATGGGAATTTACCAATTCACTAAAATTCCCCTCAAAATACGAAATGTCCATTTACCCACAATTAACCATAAAATAGAATCTAAAATCCCCTTTAATTAGGGTAAGCCGATGGGGCTAAATATTAAGAAAATTCTATTTCGACACAAAAATCGTCTCTCGTGACTGAATACCCACTGACAGAAAAAAAACAATACGTCAGCCGTCCAAAATGGCCGAAATCCCTTTCAGATAAATGTCAAGTGGGTTCAGAAATTCATCCTCAAGAATTCCCCACTATATAACTTAACAGACCATTTACGAAAGGTACCCTAAAAACTATATTTATATACAGTATAACTACATTTGGGAAACTGTTCCCGACAAAAAATTAACACAACAGCGATCGCAAAACAAAATCCCTCACGACTTAAAATCGCTCATTGTGAAACTACCTTACCTCGGGTTCTGAGCCCGATATTGGAACGTACTACAAACATGACATTTGTCGGTGTTCTGTCGTCAAATGACGTTTATGTCATTCACTGTCATAATTAATAAACATTAATCCAATTCTGACAGCTATAAACAAAGAAAATCTTAAAGAATGGTATCGTAAATAATTAATTACCCAAAGGTGAGACTATAATACATAATATATATAAATTTACAACGAAACTTGGTCTATTTTTAGGAGGGTTACCATCCTTTTACTTAGTGGTGAGATGAAATAAATTGTAATAATGATGTCTGAAAGTTAGAATACAGGTGAAATTAGTTAATGACCAAAATAATAGTGATATCAACCATACGATTTTACCCTTTTTTTTCGTATGATTAACCAGGTAAGCCAAAACAATTTTATTAATTCGTGGGGCCAAAAATGAACGTTACATATAAATATTAAGAACCATTTCTTTAGTACGGATGGCCAAATGTCCCTTTTTCAGTCGCTTTTTAGGAGTAAAAACATTTTTCTGGACTTCATCTGCTGTATCTGTGGAGGACATAGTGTCACGCAGCAATTACAAAATATAGTCAATTAAGTGTCCATAAAATAGAATAAAATATGTTCAAACTAACAACAACCACAAAAACAAAACTATAATATAATGAATTATAATCAATCAAACATACAAAATGTCCAAACTAACCAACACGGTGTTTTATAATTATCCAAATTGAACTGAATTCGACTCCGACAAAAAATATTTGCGCGTCGTCTAAATGACTAACGACCGATTAACCAATAGAAGCCCAAAAAAATGTCACGTGAGCTGTTGCTGGATGGGAGAAATTGTTTTGACGCGGCGTAAATGAAATCTGAATAGACTTTAGTCAGTTTTGGTGAGAATAAATGTCATTTTTTGTAAATAGCTTCATTTACATGATATAAAATCATTTTCATTCCGTCAGTCTTCAAATATAAAATTATTTACTTCAAATAAATCAAAGTTCTACTCAAGTCGCCATTTTGCTGTCACTTGAAGTGCGTCCATCTGTTATATCGCAAAATAGTCTTTGTCGTCTTTACTTTATTCTATCTCGATGTTACATGTTGATCCACAATGAACTTTTTGTCGTCGTTGATCTTAAACAACAGAGTTAAATAGTTTGCTTGTTAGGACATGCCATGAGAAATTAAATATATGTAGCAATTTGTAAACAAGAAATATTATGGCATTATAAATTAAATGGATATTAAATTATTATGAAGGTAGGCAAAGAGTATACTCGTATGTATAATACGTACTTATAATTTTTGAGCACGCTGTGCAAAATACATTGCCGCCATCCCATGAAAGCTCTGGATGCACCTTTTGGTCATTTTCTCGAAATGAACTTCAGCTTTTCAACATCTTAAAATATAAATTCTTGTATACCTACTTAATCCCCTTACACAGAGCTTACAGGTTTTTCCAGTGAAATTGTCAAATCATCCGTAATGTTATCCTATGGGCCAGATTAGATAAGGGATTATCTCTAACTATAGGTGATAAAAATAAATTACCTCATTTAAATATTTTTCTTAAGAAATTGATTATAACCACCCGCTAAGTTTACGACTGATACTTTACTTGGAAGTGAACCTTTGGGATTTCTGAATTTATAAAAGAAATATGTGGAAAATTTGAAAAAATGCAACATTTGTTAATTTGTTGAAAAAGTGCAATAAGATAATAAGTGTACCTCAGATGGTACTTTATGCACATTCGCTACTGAGGACGTAAATGTGCGTCCTTGTAATGCTTATCTCTAGTGTGCGCGGCCGAATTGACATCCTAAACAACGAAAGCTTCTAATCTGTGTAACTTATCCAGCTCTGGAAGTTGGTAGTTGCAACCGTGAGAGCACTTAAGTGATGTATTGAAAACTGTGATATTTCGCGTCGTTTTCAGTTATTTTTGACATTACAGTTAAATGGAAGATAGTGAACTGAGTTGTTCCCAAATTTAAATTATTTTTTAACCCATTGTTATTTTAGTCTCGATAAAATTATCATTTATTGTAACAGAATTACTTTTAATGTTGTAATGACATGTCAAATTTGTTCTTGATTTTTATTTTATGTATATTTATGTATACAATAGTTTTTTATTCTGTGTAATGTCTTTTTTTAGACAAGAATGACAAAACGCGAATTGGCGTCCTTTAGCACATATACTTACTGAATATTGCAATTGTATGCTGAAGACTCGAAAATGCGTCTTTTATGACAGGGCAATGATATATAATATTTAATACATTTTAACACCATATGTCAGTACTTTTATTAAAAGTTTATGTTAAATTTGGGCAAAAACCATTATCAGCAACCTGTCTAACACTATCTTGAAAGCGATGCACAGCGAACGTGTTCTATTTTTTCAAATTAACCTGCCATTATCATACTACCACATATAATAATGACGAGAATACATAATAGTCTGATTGAAGTGCAATTTAGATCTGAAATGTTAGAGATAAATTACGTAAGTTGAAGAACCACTTTTCTCCTGATGTTCAAAAATAAAAAGCATTTTTTTAGTTACTTTTATGATCCACCTCGTATAAACAATTTATATTAAACATAAGAACAACAATATAGTTTATTATTATTTAATAAGTACACAGCATTATAAAATTTAAAAATTTTACCCAAATCAAAAGCAAACCTTGGCAGCAGCAAATGCAGCATATCGGATTTCGAATTCCAAGAAAAATATACTTTGTACTGTAACCTACCGCATCCAGTTACCTTAATAATTTATTAATTCCATTTATTAAATATAATATTGCATTCTTGTTAAATTCAAAATCCTTCATTTAACGAAAAATCTCCCAGATAATTAAATCTTATTTACGACACCTAATAAATAATATCTATAACCACGTCCGTAAAATATCCAAATTTCTTACTCGTGTCTGAGAACCTAGAACATAAAACATATTTCTTTTCACGAAGTAATCATCATTAAAACACTTAACTCGCTTATCTTTCTAGTTTCAATGTTAATACCGATTTCGACAATATTTCGATACACAAAGCTCTCAAGGCACATAATAAATAAGCCACCCCCTTTTGCACCCACATTCGTATTTCTCTGGAAAATAAGACATACAGAGATGTCACAAAAGCCATTAACTTTAGTATAAGAAGTCTGACCCAAAGGAGCTCGTATTCATTCAATTTTTATTATTTGATCTGTAAGCATTCATCTTATTATTTTACATTTAAGCAATCAGTATATTATTTGTATCCAGTTATATAGTCAGTACCTTTCTTAAAATGTTCTTCCTAAACAACGTTTATCCTACAATATCTCCTATTCCCGAACGCTGTCAACGTCCCACGCCTTATTTCTAATGCTTGCCGTCCCTAAATATTTCCTTCATAATATCCTTGTCGACACCCTTCGTCACGACCCGCACCACCTACATAATTCTACCGTATATCTGTCCCAATGCAGTACCGTATTAAATACCTTCCTTTTCACCTCGACGCTAGGCGCCTCGACGCAAGGCGAAGCTCAACACTGCGATGTACCTAAATCGACGCCGTCACAACGCTAGATGAAATTAGTACATAATCTGATATCTGTATTGGTGAGTCAAAAGATTTATGTAACTTTCTTTGAGATACCACTGGGGTTTCTTTAAAATATTCTCAATGTAACCAATAAACCACATGACCTTCAGGTCATACACCCAGAAAGACAGTTAGGATAAACATATAATAATAATAATAATAAATCGTTTATTGTTTACCATAAAAAAATATATAATCATTCGTTTACTTATATCTAGAAAACCACTAGTAAACAAGAGGAGTGATGATAGGTCTAGAGACCAATTCTTCCTCATCATCCTAAAATAAAAAGTAATACAAATAATAATAATACAACAATTAAATAATTGTATGTATGAAGTTACAGACCTTAACTAACATTTTTCATTTCCAAACCTAATACAAAAAAAACTTAACCACGAAAGAATAATACAATTAAAATATTTTAATTATGATGTAAAAATCATTTATTTTTTTCTCTAGTGTGTGCACAAATATAATATATAGCTGGAGACTATTGTTGCAGAAACAACTTGTTCGTTTGCTTTTTTTTAAAGGCTCTTAACGAAAGAGAGAAACTTGGTATATCCATGAAGTGACCAACAGATGCAATCTGATAAGAAAAAGATGATTTATATAGTTCCTTGTTGTGTGCTGGTATGGTAATAGGATTTTTTACTCTTAGATTCAGGTTGTGCACATCTGTTCTAAATTTGATTTTTCTAAATAAATAGGGGGGATGTTTACTTTTAAGAATCTTATAGAAATAGCAGTAGGTATGAAGTTTACGACGATTGTACATACTTAACCATCCTATTTCTTTAAGTTTGTGTGATATCCGATTTCTTTTGCGTATACCATAAATCATGCGCAAACACGAATTTTGCACTTTTTGAATGCGGTACGAATCTATTTTCCTAAGGAAAGGTCCGTATACGGCGTCGCAGTGATTAAAGTGCGAAAGTACAAGTGAATCTGTTAACATTTTTTTTGTTTGTATGTTCATTTCAGACCTGTGCGGATAGATTAATTTTAAAGAGTAATAAGCTTTCTTAATTTTTTCACTCACGTGTTTATCAAAATGTAGCTTTGAGTCAACATAAATACCTAGATTTTTACAATGACTACTAAAAGCCAACTTTTCTGATCCTATAAAAACTTGCAGGTGTCTCAAAACTAATGATTTATTGCTCTCGTTTCCGAAAATAATAGCATGGGACTTATTGGCATTAATTTTTAATAGATGTTTTTCCGATAACAAAACTAGTTTTAATAAGTCATCATTAATATTTGTATTAGCAAGATGTGTATCAGATATATTAAAAGAATAGTAAATCTGAGTATCATCTGCGTATAAATGGTAATTACAATGGTCTAAATGTGCACGGAAAAAAATGTGACTAGAAAATTTTACTACAATGTTGTAGTAGTAGACTTGTAGAAAAATACTTAACAATTTGTAGAAAATTTTACTACAATTTATAGTTAAAAACTATTCATTATTGTAGCAATTGAATTGTCGAATAAAATGCTACAACAATAGGAAAGAATTCCACAATGTTTAGTATATTTTACTATTGTTTGTAGAAGTAGAAATTTATTACAATTATCGTAATTACTACTACTAACTTCTGAAAAAATTTGTACAAATATTAATAATTATCTCTACAAAAAATAGTAATTTTCTCTACAAAAAATAGTAATTTTCTCTACAAAAAATAGTAATACTTTACATTCCTTCTTCAAAAATATTCTATAATATTGTAGAAATTCTAAGTCATGTGAACAAAACAGAATTCTGCTATTGGCCAACGTTTTCTTACGTCGATCATAAACGGCCAGACAGCAGTAGCCGTTCGCCATGTTCACATAACAAAAGCATGGTACATATACGAGTACCTATAACACATTATTATATTATGAGCACCGATGCGTTTTATTTTAATAATAAATTTTAATAATAAATTCTATTGGTGGTAAGTACATTTATTATTGTTTCTGAATAATTTACCTTTAGATAACTAATTTAAATAACCTTAGTGGATTATTTTAAAAAAATAGTTGTGGCCAACGATCGAATGTTGTGCCCAACGATCGAATTTTGTGCCAAGTTCAATGATGTTTTTTTGTCTTAATTGTGACATATCTACTTTCTCATTTTTGTTAGTTATCTGACTTGGTCATTTAATATCCAAATCAGTGTAAAGGTGATAAATATCCCCGTTTTAAGGGTATGAACAATTCAATTGGTATTAATTTTTATTTCATATTTTTCAGGTGCAGAAAAGCCAACTCAGACTGAGGGCGCTATTATTACTGTTATTTATTACATAATGTAATTAAGAATTTGTATCTTTTATATTAAAACAATAAATTGAATATTTTATTAAGGAACATTTTTTTCTAGGTTATAATTATAATAATTATGGAATACTACTACAAATTTTATTAAAAATTACTACAATTTGTATGAATTTTTACTATTTATTGTGTGAAATTTTCGTATTTATTTTCATAAAACGCAATACATTTTTAATATAAATTCATACAATGAATAGCAAAAATTATAACAATTTGTAGAACAATTCTTATGATGCATTTGGATCTTTTTACTAAATATTGTAGATAATAACTCTACAATACATTCTCCACAAATATTTGGAAATTTTTACTACAAATTGTCCCTGTCCCTATATGTACTATTTATTGTAGAGAAAAAATCTACAATTGTAGAAATTTGTTCTACAATTTTTTTTCCGTGTGTGTGAAAATTTGAAGTATATAACGTATACAACAGAGGCCCTAAAATACTACCCTGAGGAACACCTTGATGTACTTTCAAACTGTTCGAAGTTTTATTTTCAATTTTAACTTTTTGTTCGCGATCAGAGAGAAAGGACCCAATTAGATTTACAGCTGCTTTACTAAATTTTGAATATCGCAAAATTGACAAAAGAATTGCATGATTAAGAGTATCAAACGCACGAGAATAGTCAATTAAAATGAGAATGCACATTTTATTTTTATCAAGATCATGAATAATGTCATCAGTAACAGCAGACAGGGCTGAAGTACAGCTGTAACCGCTTCTAAATCCGGACTGATTTAGGGGTAATAATTTTGTCATAGCTGCGAATTCCCTGATTTGCTTTTCCAGTATCTTTTCCAATATTTTTGAAAATGTTGGAAGAATGCTGATGCTCCTTAATTGACTAAATTCTGTGGGATTTGAAATTTTTGGTAGAGGTAGTACGTAAGCTCGTTTCCAAATCTTGGGAAAATAACTAATATTTATACATTTATTGAGAATATGTACTAAATAAGGTATAATAAATGGACAAAAAATAATAATGATTTGTATGTTTAAATTATCATTACCGTAAGCTTTGGTTTTTATATTTTGAATTATATTTAGTACCTCCATATCAGCTGTATGATTAAATTTAAATTCAGTGTTTACTTTTATATTAAAATTATTATTGTAAAAATTTACTAAGTCTTTATCAGGTTCCCGATCATCTTTAGTTTCATTTATTAAGAAGTTATTGTATGCATTTTTATTTTTTAGGGTTATCGGTAACTCCCAATTGGCATCTTTAATGATTTTTAATTTTTTCAATTCTTGCCATTTCTCTTTAGGAGTGTAATTTGTTAACTTAAACTCAAGAAAAGCTTTTTTTTCTCGCTTAATTGTAGCCGAAGTTAAATTCCGTAACTGTTTATAATAATCCCAATGAGCAACTCGCTTTGACTTTTTATACTTTCGTAGAGCTTTATCTCTAAGACTTTGCATAAGTTTAACATTGTCCGTAATCCAGGGTTGTTTTCTTCTACTAGTTTTAAATGTACACGTTTTAATGGGCGCATGTTTATTATTTAAGTTAAGAATATTGTTATTTAAGTACTCAATTTTTTTGTCTATATTTTCTATTTCATAAATAAGATCCCAGTTTATTAACTCAATTTCATTTTGAAATTCAAATAAATTTATTCTTTGAAAATCTCTGTAACTAAAGGTTTTTGAGGAAATGGTATTTTCTAGTGTTCCAAACTCACAATATGTTAAGAAATGCCTAACTAACTGGGTATCAAAAGCGGTTGCCTGTCTGACTTCAAAATTCGAGTAGATGTGATCAATTAGTGACATGCTATTACCACTTAGGTGAGTTGCTTCTGATATATTTTGGAAAAGACAGAAAGATTCAGTAATTGCAAGGAGGTCACGGGAAATATTTGACTGTAAATTTAACAAATTAATATTAAAATCTCCCAGGCAAATTATACGATCATAATCTAAATTAACAGCGGCTAAAGTATTTTCAAACCTATCCAGAAAAATGGTATGTTCAGAGTTCGGAGGTCGGTACAAAACTCCAACAGTGTATTTTTTATTATCTAATTTAAATTCAATCCAAAGTTGTTCTATAAAGTTTTCTTGCTCAGTAATAACTATTTTGTAGTTTAGACAATTTTTAACAAATAAAGCTACACCTCCTCCCCTATTTCTTATTCTATCATTACGTACAATGTTATAGCCATCGATTTTTAACAGTCTACTGTCAATACCTGGATTCAACCAAGTTTCTGTGATTGCAAAGATAAGGTAGTTTTTATTATGTATAATATGTTCAACATCATTAATTTTCGGTACAAGAGAACATATATTAATATGTCCTATGGAGACAAACATGTCGTCAAAAATGAATTATTGAATAATAAAAAATTAAAATTGGACTAATATATTATATGTATACACACACCCAAAAAAAAAAAAAAATGTTTCCAGATTGATTAACCGTAAAATATTCAAAATCCTAATTGTTATGAATGATTTTGTTTGCACAGGACAAAATCATATAAAATAATAATTAATATTTAAAAACAACGAAATAGGTAGCTAAAAGTGTACGACACCGACTAGTTTATTTGAAATAATAAATATAGTACATGAGCCGAAGCAACAAAATAAAAAAAAATTACAAATTCTTTGGATACTTATTTAATATAAATAGGTTATTTATTTTTGTGATCTTAGCCCTCTGTAAACAATTTGAGTCTTTTTTTGTGTTTTTTCTATATCAAGGTCGTGGGTTTTTGTCTTCGAGGTGCTAGAATTTGAGGAAGTACTATCGCTGCGTGGAAGTCTAGTAAGATCATCTTGTAGTTCTTCTACATCGTAAGGTGTTCCATCAATTATTAAGAGAATTGCCTCTAATAGAGGCAGTCCGACCTTGTTGACGTGCCAACTTCTGATGATCAAATAGCAGCTTTTTCTTCTGGTAATCTTCGCTTGTATAGTC